TATGACCTGCATGCTGGAAAGATTAAATTTCTTACGCCCTAATTAGATAACGTCTCCTCATACATCAAACAATTTCTATTTTCATTTCCAGGTTTCAGGAATACAATGCAAAGTGCTGAGAGGCAGTAGTTGAGAGCTTTCCTTCTCTGAATTCAGAGTTTAGGGGTGTCTAACCACCATCTCCACTGTTTTCCTTTCTTTCTTTCTTGGACCGCATCAAAATAAGAGGTCATATTATTAGAGAATTAAGCTTGTTCTCCACCATGCACTAACAATGATAATTGGAGAGAAGGGAGTTGGTGGGCGGTCTCTAGGTAGACCAGGAGCGTTAGAGGGACCTTTTGCAACTGCCCCCGACAAGCCTAGGTCCCCAGTCAGTGTCTCAGTCCAGGACAACTAATCGGCGAGACACCTGCAAGTAACGCCCAACCAAAACGCACCAAACAGTCTTTTATAGTAGAAACGTCTAAGCTACAAGTGCAAGGATGAAACTTGATCCCAAGCGTGTTTGGAAGATAAAAATTGTTTTCTTGGGGGGCATGAGGGACACACAACTAAAAGGCAAGACAACAACACTAATTTCTTTCGTGAAGAGATTTACTAGAGGTTTATCAGCCGTTTCCTCAACAGTGCCCTGACATTAGGAAATCTCACAATACGCTGGCCACCGGCGCCCATTCCGGCGCGTCCAGCTGAGCGTCTGCCTGACTCTGTCTGGGTTGAACACCGGGCAGGCCTTGGCCACAAGTAGGGAGTGAGAGATGTTGGAGGGGGGATGTCTCCTCAACTTGAAAACCTGTTGCTGGTGGAGAGGAAGCAGGGAGAAGGGAGGAGTAGAGGGAGCATTACTTCCTCCCACCAGGTGGTCGGCGGTGGCACGTTCCTTCTCCCAGTTCCTAAGTTGGCACTTGGGGTACCCGGGATCCTAAGAAAGCTGCAAAAATGGATTCTACTTAGAAACCGCGCAAAGACTTAACATTCCTGAGATGAGGATTCAGTTTCCTCCTAGATACACAGTGTGGCCCCAGTTCTCTCACATCCCCCACGCTGCCTCCCCCTTCCTCCTATCCTCACCTTTCCTAGGGACAGCAAGGAATGCGGGGACCTTTTGGATAGCTGCCCTGAACGTTGGGCGGGACGAGCGACCAAGATTAAAACCTCAAGGCGGGCGATTCGACGTCAGAATAGAGTTTTCACGTGTCAGTGTTTCAATTCAGCCACCTTTAGGCGTCTGGAGAAAAGGGCAGGGGTGCGTGAGCGCGAGTCAACGCGGTCGTAGTGACTTACGTAGGGGGGAAGAAGGGTAGTGTTAGAAAGTTAACAGAAACGGCAGAGGCGGGGTGGGCGGGGGGAGGGGTGGCCTCTGCCTGCGGGTTCCCCATTCCTTGGGGCAGTCCGCGGGTGAAGGGAGGATAGACCCACGGGGAGTGCAGGGGGTGGCGAGAAGGGGTTCAGGACTGGGTGGGGGGATGGTCTCCGAGGCTCCTGGCGGGGCGGCTCCTTCCACTGCGGGCTCGCCCCTGGTCCTCAGCTGCTTGCCCCACAGCAAGAGCCTGTGCTGCCCCGTCATCGCGCTCTACGGAACGCAATCTCTGACTTGGCAGTCACTTCGCGAACTCCAAGATCAAGTGGAATTCGACCTCAGGGTTGGAGTGGACCTGAAAGTTAGTCTGCCCGTATCTAAGGCTGGAATATTTCCGTCTCAGTTCCCCGCGGAGCCTCGAGCTCTGGGATTGCGGGGAAGGGGAAGCGGGGCGGGGCTCCGAGGCCAGGAGAGGCGCCTGCACCCAGGGCTAGGGGATTCTGGAAAGCCTGGCGACATTTGAAACTTAGCGTGCGCTTTCTACCTCCCACGCTCCCTCTCTACTTTACTCGGAAGGAGCTAGTGGGGGAGGGGGGCTAAGGAGGATTCAGGGTAATAAAGGTGGAGGAGAGTGAAAACCACTAGAAGATAGTCAGTCCTGCCTTCCCGAACAAAACATAAACCTCTCCTAAGAAGGCTCTATTTTGGCCAGGGAAACGCCTCTCCTGGCAGGTCCACAGAATCAGAACGTCGCAGCTGTTGTGGCAGGAACTTTGCAGCCTCGCTACTTGAACAGAGAGAAGCTTCCGCTCGCTCCCCACAGCTACATCTCCCCGTCTCCGCAGCGCTGTCGGTTTGAATAGTGTTTCTTCTTTACGCAGACCTGCCCCTACTAACTCCCGCGTCCCTGAGAACGTGCCTTTGCTCCAAATGGTTACTCCTTTTAGAAGTTGGAAAATCAATACTAGTTTAGCCTCTTCCGTGAGATGATGCACTGTCAAAACTCACAGGGAGGGAACCCGTGCCATCTGACTCCTGCGCGGACCAAAGCAATGCCCCTGCCCTTGGATAATTTACATAGAAATTTACGATGAATAATGTTCTTGGGCGCTCCTGAAAACATACTGTGGCTAGTGGCATTGTTATAAGCCCTAGGACACACTTCTTACGTATTCTCTGGTCTCGAAGTTTGGTTAAATGATTGATCAGAAGTTTGCACCGTGGGTGTTTATTCTTCCTGTTTTCTTAAACCGCTTCTTGGACCGTTTCCTGTCAGTTTTCAGATGCCATTTGCAGCACAAACAGATTTCATATGCCTACTGCAGATTGTCTTCAAAGTTCTAGTTTAAAGAGCATTATGTAAGCCTCTCTCTATTTACATAAGAGCTTTAACTCAAACCTCTCAGAAAACCATTTATTACCAATGGAAACCCGTCCAGGGGAGCAGCATAATCGACCTATATCTTCATGACACTTTCAAAAACAGCAGTAGTTCATTCTTTCTGAGGGGAAAAAAAGTAGATGTAACAAAGAACTGGAGTACTTGCATTTTTATTCAGCTTGGTTTTGTATCATTTGAGTATTATTCTTAAGCTTAATCAGTCAGTGGGGACATTTATAGGATGTGCTTTTTTATCTGTGTGGTCAGCACTTATCTAGACCATGGAGATGGCTCTGTCTCCCTTCCTCAAGTTAAATCCCAAATGTGACAAAAAAATGTCTTTTCGTTAGTAGAATCAGTTAAGTACAACTTTTACTATAATTACTAAAAGGATTCCTAAATAATGCTCATTGTAAGCCAAAGCCAAGCAATAATAAAAAAATAGATATATAAAGTTTCCTTTAAAATTTTTTTGCCACTTTTACTCTCATACCATTCCCCTTCCTATATCTAACCACTTTTATTAGTTTAAATGGATATCTATCTCTCTTCCTTCTTTTGTTCATTCATTCATTCATTCTTTCCATAGTCTTACTAAACTTTTGGGAGGATTTTTATTGTTATACATACATAACAATATAACTTTGGGGAAGATATATATGTAATAGGAAAGGGTCCTGGAGAGATAGGAAACTTAGTTATAAGGAGTTCAAAATTGGGATAATTTAAGGAAGGCCAATATCTTGCCCCATATCACATGGGACACTAGTTTTCAGACATTGTTCTATTTCTGTTACTGCATTAGCTGAAAAATAAGTCACTTAGACATTGGCACTTAAATATCATTAGAAAAGATCAACAAGGGCCCTGCAGACTTCTTTGCTTAACTGTTAGACCATTATGAAGCTAGAAGCACTTCAAGAGAATTCTTAGGGTCTAAGGTTCTTCCTGGTGACAACCATCCCCTTGCAGACTGAGGACTGATGCCATTCTTCAGCCATGTCTCCAACAAGGAACCTCTTTTGTTGAGAAAATGGACTAGATTCCCAAACATCCTCTCATAGGTTGCCTGTTCTAAGATATAATTAAGTGGGGTTATGAGTAGTGTTGTTATCAAGAGAAATTGCAGATTAGACAGGTTGTGTCTGGAGTGCACCATCACCTTCCATCACCTTCCACTTTCCTCACTCTTCCTATCAACCTGGTCACACAGATTCCAGATCTGCCCTTTGGGACTTTTAACCCATGAAGACTTTTTCCTCTGAGGGACTCCTTACTATTGCCTCGCCTGTTATCATCAATCAGATAAGGTAATAAGGTAACCAATATGAGGCGTTAAAAGATGATATGTGCTAAGAGGCATTTGCGTTTTTCCAAGAAAAGCTTGGAGGGTCCATGCTATAGGCCCTGAACAATGAATCTCAGTAGTGTAACTGGAATTTAAGACTGTAGTTGGCAGATGGAAAAGATATTTTAGGCAGGAGGAATTTGCAGCATTCCTAAAATACAGCCACATGGCCATGAGTCACCTTCTTTGTCCTGTCTTAAAGACCAACTCTACCTCTGTGAGCTAGTCAGATATGAAATTTCTACTGTAAAAACAGTGTCACTTAATTTTTATTAGTAATTGTGCAGTGTTGGAAAAGTTTTAATGGTATTGGTGTTGTACTGAAGAATTTACTTCTTCTAGTAATAGGTTTAACTGATACCATTCTGGGGAGAATGATTCATGACTGGCCAACGAAAGTATTGCACATTGCAGTGATTGGTTTAGGAAGGGCACATGACCTAAGCAGACCAATCAAAGTAACTGAACATTAGCCTCATAATTTTGGCAAGAATAATGAGGGAAGCAGAAAACTAGTTAACACTCTGATTACCTTATTATACTAAGGTATATAAAGTATAAGCCTTAATCTTCCAGGAGCCCCTCTTGCAAAGACAATGTGCTTGAGGAAAACCAATACAGAGAAAATCAAAAGACAGAGAAAGATACGATATAATTGAACCACTGGATTCATCTGTGCTTAAAGTGTATTCTTGGACTTTTAATTAATTAATTAATTAATTAATTATTATTTTTAAAAGACAGAGTCTAGCTCTGTTGCCCAGGCTGGAGCACAGTGGTATGATCTCGGCTCACTGCAACCTCCTCCTCCTGAGCTCATGCGATCCTCCCACATCAGCCTCCTGAATAGCTGGGACTACAGGCATGTGCCACCATGCCTAGTGATTATTGTTATTTTTCGTATTTTTTTTTTTTTTGTAGATACAGAGTTTCACCCTGTTGCCTAGGCTGGTATCAAACTACTGAGCTCAAGTGATCCACCTACCTTAGCTCCCAAAGTGCTGGGATTACAAGCAAGAGCCACTGCGCCAGCATGGATCAGAGTTATTAATACTTTAAAGTTTGGAGGAGGAGCCCCAAGGCGCTAGCCTTCACCTCTGAAGAGGGAGTACTACTCAGCGAGTGCTAGTAACTTCAGGTAAGAAAAATGGTCTTGAAGAGTTGAGGTTGAAATCTCAGGAGGCATTGGCAGCTGTTGCTGGTGTTTCTGAGGGGGCAGAGTATGATGGGGCTGCTTCTGGGAGAGCCAAATAGAGTTGGAGTTGGAAAGACATTGCTGCTGCCATGGTTAAGTATCATTGCTCTGGTGACACTGACAGGAAGAGCAAGCAAATAAAAAAAGAACAAGGGAAGAAGTTTCCCTCTGTCCTCTCCCTGTCTTCCAGTCTCTCTCTACAAACTCTTTTTGACAGAATTTAACAGGGGTTCAGGTAACAAAGGAATCTGAAGAATTCCAGGCCTAGTTTCACAAGGCATGATCTAGAAGGAGGAAATTTAGAGTTGGAAGACAATAGCTTAATAATATACTTCACACATATCGGAACCTTTTGTCTAATAGCAACTTTGTGCTTCTGTTTACTAAAATGCAACTATCCTTCAGAAGATTGTCTCGCTGTCTAGCCTCCCTCCTCAAAAGAAGACTCAACTTTTCCATAGGTGGTGTTTTCATAAATGGTCAATTAATCACCTAAATAACGAATTGTCAATGTTACCACCACCAGTACTCCTTATGCAATGCAATAGAGAGAAAAAAAGAAATAGAAATATACGTGACAAGCAAGGAAGCAAATATGTGTGGTTGCTACTGTCCATGTTTCTAGAATTGGTCACAAGACTATAGTTAATTTTTGTAACCTTCTTTTTCCACGAACTGTTCTATATTTCTTTGGCTTTCAGGCATCATTTCAGCCAGTTTGTTACCTGGCAAAGGCCCCATACTTCCATTATGAAAGATTTTAATCGTCAGTGATTCTATCTTTTTGATTACTTTAGTATTCTTTTAACTTTTAGTCTTAGAAATGAAAGTTCTGAGAGGCATCCCAGTGAGTCCTCTGGTTTTTCCTCTACCTGTATTGTATAGCTGTAGCCAAGTTCTCCTTGTTAGTCAGGATCAACCACCACAGTCATTAGAGTAATTCCCTTCTTTGCCTATTGGCTCAGTGGCATAAGGAGCCTAAAATAGACAGGTGACAGTCTCAACTTTCAGTTCAATGGAACAATTGTTACATCTGCTTGTAGAAGTTTTCCTTCTGTGGGAATTAGAACCTCTAAATCAGAAGAGCACCAACTTGTGGGGAATGGAAAGCAAAACTTCTGCTAGTGGGTTACCAGATGGAACAGTGACACTGATTACTAGACTCCTATATTCTGGCCATGGGAGAAACAGCACCATATGTTGGCCACTGATTCAAAGCATATGATGGCATTTTATAAGACATAGCCCCAAACTTTTAGCATATTCTTAACTGGAACGGTAATGATCCTTCATAGATCATTTTGTCAGTTCAGTACATAAGAGATGGGATATTGTGATATGACCAGTGAATTCCATGGACATAAACTCATTATTGTACTTCTTTTGTTGCTGTGTTAAGGTTTTTGGTCAGAGTTAATATTGTGTGGAATTAAACAATGTTGTGCAGAATATAGTTACTTAGACTTTCTATAAGTCCATGATGGTGGTGCTTTTGGAAGAAGTGAGAAAAGAGAACGAAAACCCATTTCTAGAATATATGTACATTACAGTTAGAACTAATTGTTGTTGTATACCTGAGGGAATGAATCCAGTGTAATCAATATACCACAAAGTAGCTGGCTGCTATCCCCAGGGAGTGGTGTCATTTGGGGGCTTAGCACTGGTCTCTGTAGTCTATGCATTCTGCAATGGCAGCCAAAGATCAGCCTTGATGAAGAGAAGCCCATGCTGTTGAACTAATGTATAGCTTCCACTCCTGTTATCATGACTATATTGAACATTCATTCAGCAAGTCCCCGAATGGCTACAGAAGAGGCCACCTGGCATTCACAAAACGTCTCATTTTTTAAAAGCTCAGTCTTGATTATTGAGAGCCTTATCTGCAGTGGATGTATTTTGGTGAACATATGTCTTTGCAGTCCACGTGGAATCTATTCACAAATATCTTCCTCAGCGTTTCTTGCCATTTGTATTCTGATCTTGTTCTGAATCATCAAACCTAACCAATGGTTATTAGCCACTGCCTATAAATCAGTGTAGATCTATATCTCTGGCTATCACCAGTCATGAGAAAGGAGGTGATACACTTTGGATGTTTGTCCCCTCCAAATGTCACCTAATGAGAGGTGTTTGGGTCATGGGGGTGGATCCCTCATGAATGACTTGTTGCCCTTCCAGTGCTAATGAGTGAGTTCTCATTTTATTAGTTACTACGAGATCTGATTGTTAAAAAGTCTGGCACCCCCCCCACCCCACTCTCTTGCTTCCTCTCCCTGTCTTGCCCTTTCTGTCACTATGTGACATACTTGCCCTCCCTTTGCTTTCCACCATGATTGTAAGCTTCCTGAGGCTTCACCAGAAGCTGAGCAGATATTAGTGCCATGATTGCACAGGCTACAGAATCATAAGCCAAGTAAACCTCTTTTCTTTATACATTACCCAGCCTCAGGCATTCCTTTACAGCAATGCAGAACAGACTAACACGGGGGAACCAAATGTACTCTTCTAATTTCTTTCTTCTAGAAAGATTTCCCTTCCCCACTGTCTTTCAGGAACACTCCTGATTAGGGCTGTAATGTTGCAGGTGTCTACTTCTAATATATCCATGCCATTCAGGATTTCCCTGTATTTAAATAGAAGTCAACTGATTAAAAACCTTAAGTATATCAGCAAAACCTATTTACCTTTGCTTTATAATGTAATCATGGAACTGATATCCCATCACATTCAGAGGTTCCCTCCACAGTGAAAGGGAGGCTATTATACAATAATGTGGATCAGTGGGGGTTACCCTATCATATTATCATCCTATTTTTAATAATATTTGCACTAAAAAGTATGTCTTTAATATCAATCTATTCTTTTTATTATTTATATCTATTGTGCTGAATCTAACTGCTGAATGGTTCCTCATTGCATACATCCAGCATGGTTTACTTTTCTTCTCTCAGTTATGAACACTCATCTTCTATTAATAACTTGTTGCTACTACAAATAATTCTACAATAAACAGATTATTGTATGTTCCTTTCTGAACATATGTAATAGTTTTCTTTATATATATATATATATATATATATATATATATATATTCAGATGTGTAGGGAAAAATCTCTTTGCATTGCAATGTGTTCAAATAGTTAATTTGACTGAATAGTGTGCCAAATTGTTTTCCCAAATGGCCACACCAGCCTACATTTACACCAGGAGTGTATAATGATCTATCTATCCCAGGGAGACAATGTGATTTATTGTTCAACTGGGGGCACTTTTGACAATAAAAGCAGGTACTAATAATTATACTGAACAACTAGTGTATACTAGGACTGTCTCAGACAAACTGGAATGTATGGCTACCTTGCTCTATCCCTATATCCTTGGCAACTTGTTGCTGTCCATTTTTCTAATTTCTGTTAGGCAAATAGATATGAAGTTTTATCTCCATGTTATTTTATTTTGTTTTTCTCTTGTTATGTTTGAGAATACTTTTGTATGCTTTCTAGGCTTTGAGGGTTTGTTTTCTTTAAATTACCTGCTGATATTTATTGTCCATTTTTCTTTGGTTGAGATTGCTAAAGATCTTTTTTATATTCTAGAAGTTATTAATTATCAGTTGTAAACATTGGTGATAAAATCACCCTTTCTATTTTGGTTAACATTATCCAAGATGTCTCTTATTGAACAGAAGTCTTTAATCTTAATATAATCACATGCATCAGTGTGGCAGATACAGTGATGTATGGTTCTAATCCCTCTTCAAAGAGAGATTTGTTACCTTGGCTACTGAATGTGATGTTTGCAGACAGACTTTAATTCTCAGACACAAATTGTCTCAGCTGGATGCCCAATTCTATTCTATTAGTCTATACGTTGATCCTTATGCCAGTACCATACTATCTTGATTACTGTAGCTTTGTACTGTAAGTTTTAAAATTGGGAAGTGTGAATTCCCCAACATTGTTCTTTTCAAGATTGTTTTGGGTATTCTTTGTTTCTTGCAATTCCAAATGCATTTTAGAATCAGTTTGACCATTTCTAAAAATAATACAGTCAAAATTTTGATAGAAATTGCATTGAATCTACAGATCAATTTGGGAAGTATTGCCATCTTCACAATATTGTCTCCCTGTCCATGAAAATGGGATATCTCTTCATTTATTTAGGTGTTCTTTAATTTCTTTCAACATGTTTTATAGTTTTCAGTGGACAAAACTTGCACTTTAGTTAAATTATTTCTAAATATTTTTCTGTTTTTGGTGCTATTATAAATTAAATTGTTTTCTTAATTTTATTTTCAGATGATATATAGAAACACAACTGATTTTTCTATGCAATTATGTACCACATAATAATGTTTAGGTCAATGTTGGACTGTGTATGCAATGATGGTCCCAGAAGATTATAATAGAGCTGAAAAATTTCTATTGCCTGGCAATGCCATAACCATCATAATGTCATAGTTCAATCCATTACCTTTTCTGTTTAGCTATGATACACAGATACTTACAATTGTGTTACATTTGCCTACACTATTCAATAGAGTAACATGCTGTACAGGTTTGTAGACTAGGAGCAATAAGCTATACCATCTAGATTAGATGTGTAGTAAGCTCTATCATCTAGGTTTGTATAAGTACCCTCTGTGATGTTCACACAATGAGAAACCACCTAATAATGCATTTCTCAGGGTGTATCCATATCATTAAGTAACCATACTGTAATTATGTTTTGTGATCTTGTATCCTGCAGCTTTGCTAAACTCATTTATTAGCTCTATTATGGTTTCTACATATAAGATCATGTCATCTGTGAAAAGAGATAATTTTATTCCATTCTAATATGGATAGTTTTTTTTCTTTCTTTTGCCTAGTTGCTGTGAATAGTACTTCCAGTACAATGTTGAAAAGAAGTGGTGAGAGTAAATATCCTTGCCTCATTCTTGA